AGCAGTTCATCCCAACAAAGAGACAGTCGGGCAAAAACTCCGGACTGCATGGATGGACAGGGAGCTCCTGGACAAACTCAGACATGAAAATGAAGCCCGCAGAGGGTGGAAGCAAAGACAGGGAGCCTGGGACTAATAGAGAGGTTGTCTGAGCAGCCAGGGTTCTGGTTAGGAATGCTAAAGTTGTAATGTTGGGGAGAAAAGGAAGACTAGAGAAAATGTGAGCCCTTTTTGTAAGAAAATGGGAGACCTGGCTAACTGGGACAAGGAAAAGGCTGAGGTACTTAATGACTTTTTTTGCCTCAGGATCTTTACTGACAAGATCTCCAGCCCTCTCAGTTGTAGAAGGGAGAGGCAGGGACTGGGAGAATGAAGAACTGCCTGCTGTAGGAGAGGGTCAGGTCTGAGACCATTTAAGAAATCAGAATGTAGATGTGTCCGTGAAATCTGACAAGATACATCCACAGGTCCTGAAGGAACTGGCAAAGGAAGTGGCTAAGGCATTATCCATTGTATTTGTTGAATGGTGAAGGTCCCACTCATTGGAAAAGAGGAAGCATAACCTCCATTTTAAAAAGGGAAATTAGGAAGACCTGGGGAACTCCAGGGCAGACAATTTTACTTTTGTACCTGGCAGGACAGTGGATCAGATCCACCTGGAAACTATACTAAGGCACGTGGAAAGTAAGAGGTGATAGGTGACAGCAAAACTAATCAAGACCAAAAAAAAGATGCTATCAGCATGGTAGCTGGAGACAACAGGGTTTTTTAGTGGCTTATCCTGGTGTAAAGGTGCGTGGTTTTCTGGCATTTAGCAAGCCAGAAACTGATCTGGAGAGTTGATCTAAAAGCGAACAAATACTGTTTTCTGGTAGTCGTTTGGTGCTCGCCCACTGGTAAGTGCAAAACTATAAGTGCAGGAAAGAGCAGAGCTTGTGATTGTTGGTAAGGAAGACCACAGTTGTGGTGGTTCTGATTTAAATGGGTTTAAGTTACTGTGGGATTGCAGCCTCAGAATTTGGATCCTTGCTCTGAATTCTGGTGTGAAGCCTCATTTCGTCACTGACCTCTTAGTCACTGTTAAAAAGCATAAAATGTTTGCAGATACCCTGTGGGCATTCACAATTGCTTCATGACTAACTTCTCTGTGTTAGAACACTGTGCCTTCTAATTGTTTTCAGGCTACATTTCAGTTTTGACAGCTGAGAGAAGTAACTTCCTCGGCGTGAGAAATTAAGAATATATTAGTGATCTGGTTGTGTCAAAGAGAATATCAACCCTTCCCACTGGCATCGTGCATTATGGACCATGATGTATGACCATGTGTTTGAGTTAGGGTGGTATTTCAGTGGTCAGTACTTACTGTCCTATGTTTTGAGTTAATTCTTTGTAAGTGTCTCTTCTAGCTTTGAATTTAGTGTTAACTCCACTGGTTTGGTACTTCCCTTTTGTCTTCATTAGAATGCTTTTTATTGCATTTGTTGAATAAACTTAATTTCAGTTTTGACAGAAAGCACAGACACAACTTTACAAAATTAAGGGAATCTCCTTGAAATTCAAGTTCAGGATTAATGTTCAAAGTGATCTGGTATAAAAAAATAATGCCTTTCTGGCTAGTAGTCTAAGACTGTGCATGGAACTTCAGGAACAACATTATTTCTTTTCAACAATTTATAAAATTGTAAGAGGTTCTTATTGGTGTTTTTAGCCAGTAGTTTATTGTGTCCATGATAGTATGGTATCTTACGTATGTCTTGCTTGCTGAAATGTCATCTTCTGTTTAATGTGGGGTGACCCTGGCCAGATGCCATGTACCCACTAAAGCCACTCTCTCACTCTCCCTCTGCAGCTGGACAGAGGAGAGAGAAAAAACCAGCTAAGGATTCATGAGTTAAGAGCTGGGAGATGTCACTTACTGATTACCTTCACGGGCAAAACAGACTTCAAGTGGGGATAGTACTTCAGTTTATTACTAACAGGATAAGAGCCAAAGAGTGAGAAATAAAACAATCCTAAAAACACATTCCTCCCACCCCTCCTTCCTTCCATGTTCTCCCTCCTCCCCGCAAGCAGTGCAGGGGGACAGGAATGGGGGTTGTGGTCAGCTGTTGTTTCTGTCACTGCTCAGGGAGAGGAGTCCTTCCCCTGCTCCCGTGGGGTCCCTCCCATGGGAGACAGTCCTTGATGGACCTCTCCAGTGTGAGTCCATCCCTCGGGCAGTAGCTCTTCCCAACCTGCTGTCCCATGGGTCACTCCTCCATGAGGTGCAGTCCTTCACAGATGAGCTTTATTGACGTGGGTCCCCCACAGGGGCCACAAGTCCTTCACAGGAAAAGCCTGCTCCAGTGTGGGCTTCCCTCTCCGTGGGCTGCAGGTCTCCGGCAGGACCTGCTCCATCTTGGGCCTCCCACGGGGTCACAGCCTCCTTCATGCATCCACCTGCTCCAGCATGGGCTCCTCCATGGGCTGCAGGTGGGTCTCTGCACCCCGAAGGTCCTCCATGGGCTGCAGGGGCACAGCTGCTCCACCATGTTCTGCACCACGGGCTGCAGGGCCTCAGCTCTGGCGCCTGGAGCACCTCCTGCCCCTCCTTCTGCACTGTCCTTGGTGTCTACATTGTTGTTCCCATATTCTCACTCCTCTCTTCCCTGGCTGGAATTCTTTCTGTGCCACAACCTTCTGTTCTTAAATATGTTATCACAGAGGCGTTACTATCACTTCTGATTGTCTTGGCTTTGACCAGTGGCAGGAAGTCTGTCCTGGAGCTGACTGGCATTGCCTCCACCAGACAGGGGAAGCTTCCAGCAGCTTGTAGCAGAAACCATCCCTTGTAGCTGTCCCTGCTACCAAAATCCAGCCGCAGAAACCCACTACATGTGCTGAGGTCATTCTTTCAGGCTTTTGCACTTGGATGAGTGGGGAGACTTACCTTCTTTACTAAAATCTGTTTCTTCTTTCACTGTAGCTATTCCAGCTATCTCTCTGTACTGAATGTCTGATTGCTTCACTCAAAAATATTTTTGCTTGACTGTTTCTGTGTTTCACAGCTCCCAATTGAACTTGTACCTGAGGCTGTCAGAAAACTGTTGATCTCGCTTCTGTGTAATCTCAGTAAATGGTGTTTAATGCTGTATTAGTGGCAGTAGGATGTAATTTTTTTATGTGGTGACCCCCACCATGTCCCCAGGTAACCTTGTGTAGCTGGTTCTACTCTTAAAAAAAAACCCTGCTGGACAAAATCCAGAGTGCTCCGAGTTCTCTGCAACTGGGAGCTGTGACCCTTTAATGCCATGGAGCAGCTTCCCAGATTGGGGATTTTAGATGGACAAAGGAGAGGAGCAGTAGAGGAGGTAGGCTGAGCAAGGGAGTACAAAGGCCAAGTTGGAAGCAGTTGGGTATGACCGGGCCTGGAGCACTGTTCTTTATGGCAAAGAGCACGTGAGCTTGGTGAAGAAGTGTGACAAATCCCAGGTTACAGCACTTGTTGCCTCTTTCCTAACCTCTGTCTGCCTTCTCTGCATCCAATTGTGAAAAGAGAGCAAAGAGGGGAAAATAATGTAGAGATAGAAGAGCTGGCCAGTGCCAGACTTCAGCTATTCTGTATTCTTGTCCCAAAAAATACTGTATGTTGCTGCATGGGAATCCTTCCTCTGCTTATTTAATCCTGCTACTTTGGTGCTCCTAAGAAGTCCTTCAAAAAGTAGGTCTAGAAATGTCTTTTTAACACTTGAACAGTGAACTGGGACAAGGGGAAGAACTAGTGGTGAGAGCAGGGAATGGAAAGTCATTAAAACAGGAACTTAATTCCTAAACTAGTTTTACCATGTCTTGGAGCTAATGTTCTTACTCAGTTCAGGTGGTCCCCTGAAAATAAGAGGTGATTCTGATCCAACTTTAAACAGCCTGTTATGAGTAATTCTGATGTTTGGACACCAGCATACTGGTGATTTAGGATTATAATTTTTGTGCTCTGGCAAACTTGCAGTTGCCTGGTAACTTATAATTACCACCTAATTTTGTCATTAAAATAAACTGTTTTTTGTTCTTTGACTGTAGCTCTTGGCCTCTTCCTGTTCTTGTCATACAAAATAGTATGCATAGTCTTCCTCAAAACCCAACAAATTGGAAAAGCCTCGGATAAAACCCCTAAAAAGGGATGGGGTGAAATGTATGCAGAAATATGCTGCATGTAAGAAGTAGTTGCTAACATTTTTTATAGACATTTGCTTTATGGATTGTTAAGTAACACACAAATTTTCATGCCTTGCATGAATGAAATGTGCAAAAATAAAACCATTCACTGTATCAGATTAACTGAGGCTGGTAATCAAAATTGAAGGCAACAAATACTTGTTTAAGTTAAAATAGAAATGAATATTCCTGTGAATGATAACAGGGAAGCTGAGTAATTTGAACTGGGTAATTTCCTTGTCAGTAACTGTGATTAAGGGGGAAGCAGAAGAAATGTGTGGTCACTGGTTGGCAGAAGCAGAGGATGATAGGGATGGACAGGTAGTCTGAGTCAGAGAAGGAAACAAATGGAGTATTTCAACTTTGTCCTCACACAGACAAGGAGAGAGAGGGAATTTCTTGAGCCATCAGGGTATGCAGGGAGGCTTGGATTCCAGGGCATCTTAGGCAAGAATGAGACAAAGTAGAGACAGTAGAGACAAAGTTTTGGAAAACATCTGATGATTTGGCAGTAGCAGTCTTTGGGATGAGTCTTTAGGTAAGTTCTTTTATTGACATTTGGAGCTACTTCACGAGACACAGAAAGATGGCAAGGAATTGCAGGTCCTACTAAGATGGGTGGTCTTAGATGAACTGTGTCTTATTTGTGTGTGTTAGGGAAACAAATTCTGTGCAGGAATTTGGGAAGTAAATGATATTTAACTTCAGTTATAGTAGTTTTCTTGTTCAACCGTGGCATTCTCTAATGTGACAGACTAGTGACCGGTGGCTCCTCTGCTGTTGCTGTTAAATGGTGTTTTCTCTCCTAGGGTTTGGACGTGGCAGAGGGAGAGGAGCGGGGAGGTTTTCAGCCCAAGGCATGGGGTAAGAAATATGCAGAGCACAGATTTTGGCAAGGATCAAACTCAGTGGCAATATTAAATGACAATGTTGCCACTGTATGTATGAATATTGCTGTATGTTTGATAAACCAATATGGATTCAAAAACTGACAAATCTCTTAGATGATGAATGGAACATTTTTGTCTTAAACCAGTATTTCTAACTAGGCACCCTTATACAAACCTAATGTATGTTTACTCAGTGTTAATATCTCAAACTTGGAGAACAATACCTGCCATCGGTACCAGCCACATAGTGCCTTGGAGGCTGAAGATTGTGTTGTGTATTTAGTCTTAGGCCAATTCAAAATGAGATTCATTTCAGTGTAATGTAGAATGTGCAAGTTCTGTATAAAACTAGAAAGTAGAGATTCTAAACTTCCTCCTGTTTTTGAGGTTTCATGCGTTAGCTGTTTGGACATACATGGACCTTAAAACAGATGATTGAGAAGAAGTTACTCAGCAGCTTAAAAGTTTGTTCTCAATTTTGCTGGAATAATTTGCTTTATAGAAACATAACCTCCACTACTTTCACTCAGTGTTTGCCTTTAATGGCACTTCATGTAAAATCAGTGATGTCATGATGAACAGAAGGCTTTTTCTACTTCACTAATAATCCTTCTTGTTCATACTTTTAGGTGAAGAAACTGAAAAGAGGTTTTTCTTCAATAATCCTTTTTCACCTTTTAGCTGCATCTGTGTATTTTGGCATTGGGTGTCCTGGGCAGGTCTAGTGCTCTGAAAGGACATGATACTGGTTACTTGTCAGTCAGCCATGTGCTGAGTAACTTACCAGCAGAGAGGGTCTTATAATTTTTTTTTGTGTGTATAAACTAATGCTTTGTAAGACTGGGAGGGGTAGGTATGCTGTTAACTGCTTTTTCAGGAATTACTTTGCTTCACTTTCTCTACAGGAGTTTTGTTTTCCAGTCTTCTCACTTTTTTTCTCCTTTTCTCTTTTCTCCCTTTTTTATCTCTGTCTGCTCATAGAAAAAAAAATTTTGAAGTGAAATTGAGATGTTAAATCTAGTACAACTTCAGCTAAAAAGATGACACTTGTGTTCATTGAATGACCCGTGTGTTCTCTTCCATTTCTTAACTTTTAAAACTCTAGGACATTTAATCCTGCAGACTATACGGAATCTTCTGCCACTGATGGCTTTGGGACAAAATCAGAGATTTGGGAGACTGTTCAGAATGATGCAGATGATGGAACTGGTAAGATGCTTCAAGAAGTGGAAGGACTGGAATGAAGACCTGTAGCAAATTGCAGTTAAAATAATCATTCTGCTAGTGTTCACTTAACTTCTGACAATGTGACTCCATCTTCTGTGACACAGATATTAGTTCATTTTTATAGTTTAACTGCTGCTGATGTGCAGAGCACAGAGCCTGTGTGTCTCTCTGGTAAGAATGAAGGGAAGGCATTGTGCAATTTTCTTGTTCTGGTACTAACAAACTCTTAAGAGACAAAGGAATTTGAAGAGTCACTGGAAGAACCATGTATGTGAAGAACTGTTTAGATACTGCTTAAGATCTCACCTAATGTAATTAAGGAGCATAAGTCCTAATAGAACTGATTGGTCCACGGGCATTAGGTATGGGGTATGAATATCCAAGAAGAAAAACAAAAGAAAAACAGTTTACAGATATGAATTCACTCAGTGACACTGGGATGGCTTTGGAAACCCCATCTCTGCAACACAGAAATGTAAGGATGTGAGTCTCTGGGATGGAGGAGAGTTCCAAGGTCTGCCATCTTTGAAGAGAAGAATGAATTAACAAAACACGAGTAGGCACTTGAATAGAAGCCAAAAAGCTGTTGGCTTGTCTGATGATAGAGGTAGCTCTGTGTTTCTGTATGATGTTTCAAGTGAGAAGTACACACTCCAGCTAAAGACAAGAGACAGAGAGAGTCTGGAAAGGAACCACTTAGCATTGTTCTTGTGGTGATTCAGAAATGAGGTGGGTGACCTGCTTATCTGTGATTGGGAAAATAGGATACCTTACTGCTTCCTGTGTTCTGTGGAGATGAAGACAGGAAATCCTGTGTCAGGATGGTGTAATTAATGCATGGTTTTGTCTGCACTTGAGAACCCTTGAGGGAGAGAATTTTTTTAACTGCAGCAATGGGTAACTCTTCTGGTCTCTTCGCTGCTGAAGCCTACTTGGGTGATTTTTCATCAACCCCTGTGTCAAGTATGGAGGGAGATCCTGGAGGCCAGTGCTCTGTTGAAATCTGCTCTGAGCTGCTTGAGCTTTCTGAGCTTCATATGAACTGTTTCCCACTTAACCAGAGAAGGCAATGACAGGCTCAGAGTTTAGGATGGCTTATTAAGCAGCTGTCTTGTCACTCTGAGTGCCTTCTGGTCCAGCGTGGAAGAGTGGCCTTGACTATATTAAGTTATTAATGAGATCATTCTTGCCAAATATGGCATCTTTCCAAGGAATTACTTCTGAAAATACTTGGTGCTGTAGCATAAACAGAAATGCACCTTTTATTTTCACTGATGTTTTTCAAATAAGGAGTACACCTAATGTCTTGAAAATTCCTCTTGGAATTCTTATATTTTTGTTTGCTATTGGTAGCAAGGGACAGGGTATGTCGTCACAAGCATTGCAGAAGAGTAAGCTTAGCTAGTAAAAGAAAACCTATAAGAAAGGTACAAGGAGACTGGACCAGAGGTAGAGAATCACTGGTTTGTTACTAATGATAGCAGCTGTATGGTTGTGGCTTACACATGACTTGTGCTCCACTTCCAAAGTAAACTCAAATGTTTTGTGAGCCTCCCTGCTAACTCAGAGTAGCCTTCGTGTGCTTCTCTCATGACAACCTCTGTTTCTTGTAGGGGAAGAATTCTGCCTAGGAATAAGAGTAGCTTTGTGTGGGTAAACAGATCCCTGTAAAAGTATGAGCGTGTCTACATGAGGAGTGTGCTTCTGAGNGGTCCTCCATGGGCTGCAGGGGCACAGCTGCTCCACCATGTTCTGCACCACGGGCTGCAGGGCCTCAGCTCTGGCGCCTGGAGCACCTCCTGCCCCTCCTTCTGCACTGTCCTTGGTGTCTACATTGTTGTTCCCATATTCTCACTCCTCTCTTCCCTGGCTGGAATTCTTTCTGTGCCACAACCTTCTGTTCTTAAATATGTTATCACAGAGGCGTTACTATCACTTCTGATTGTCTTGGCTTTGACCAGTGGCAGGAAGTCTGTCCTGGAGCTGACTGGCATTGCCTCCACCAGACAGGGGAAGCTTCCAGCAGCTTGTAGCAGAAACCATCCCTTGTAGCTGTCCCTGCTACCAAAATCCAGCCGCAGAAACCCACTACATGTGCTGAGGTCATTCTTTCAGGCTTTTGCACTTGGATGAGTGGGGAGACTTACCTTCTTTACTAAAATCTGTTTCTTCTTTCACTGTAGCTATTCCAGCTATCTCTCTGTACTGAATGTCTGATTGCTTCACTCAAAAATATTTTTGCTTGACTGTTTCTGTGTTTCACAGCTCCCAATTGAACTTGTACCTGAGGCTGTCAGAAAACTGTTGATCTCGCTTCTGTGTAATCTCAGTAAATGGTGTTTAATGCTGTATTAGTGGCAGTAGGATGTAATTTTTTTATGTGGTGACCCCCACCATGTCCCCAGGTAACCTTGTGTAGCTGGTTCTACTCTTAAAAAAAAACCCTGCTGGACAAAATCCAGAGTGCTCCGAGTTCTCTGCAACTGGGAGCTGTGACCCTTTAATGCCATGGAGCAGCTTCCCAGATTGGGGATTTTAGATGGACAAAGGAGAGGAGCAGTAGAGGAGGTAGGCTGAGCAAGGGAGTACAAAGGCCAAGTTGGAAGCAGTTGGGTATGACCGGGCCTGGAGCACTGTTCTTTATGGCAAAGAGCACGTGAGCTTGGTGAAGAAGTGTGACAAATCCCAGGTTACAGCACTTGTTGCCTCTTTCCTAACCTCTGTCTGCCTTCTCTGCATCCAATTGTGAAAAGAGAGCAAAGAGGGGAAAATAATGTAGAGATAGAAGAGCTGGCCAGTGCCAGACTTCAGCTATTCTGTATTCTTGTCCCAAAAAATACTGTATGTTGCTGCATGGGAATCCTTCCTCTGCTTATTTAATCCTGCTACTTTGGTGCTCCTAAGAAGTCCTTCAAAAAGTAGGTCTAGAAATGTCTTTTTAACACTTGAACAGTGAACTGGGACAAGGGGAAGAACTAGTGGTGAGAGCAGGGAATGGAAAGTCATTAAAACAGGAACTTAATTCCTAAACTAGTTTTACCATGTCTTGGAGCTAATGTTCTTACTCAGTTCAGGTGGTCCCCTGAAAATAAGAGGTGATTCTGATCCAACTTTAAACAGCCTGTTATGAGTAATTCTGATGTTTGGACACCAGCATACTGGTGATTTAGGATTATAATTTTTGTGCTCTGGCAAACTTGCAGTTGCCTGGTAACTTATAATTACCACCTAATTTTGTCATTAAAATAAACTGTTTTTTGTTCTTTGACTGTAGCTCTTGGCCTCTTCCTGTTCTTGTCATACAAAATAGTATGCATAGTCTTCCTCAAAACCCAACAAATTGGAAAAGCCTCGGATAAAACCCCTAAAAAGGGATGGGGTGAAATGTATGCAGAAATATGCTGCATGTAAGAAGTAGTTGCTAACATTTTTTATAGACATTTGCTTTATGGATTGTTAAGTAACACACAAATTTTCATGCCTTGCATGAATGAAATGTGCAAAAATAAAACCATTCACTGTATCAGATTAACTGAGGCTGGTAATCAAAATTGAAGGCAACAAATACTTGTTTAAGTTAAAATAGAAATGAATATTCCTGTGAATGATAACAGGGAAGCTGAGTAATTTGAACTGGGTAATTTCCTTGTCAGTAACTGTGATTAAGGGGGAAGCAGAAGAAATGTGTGGTCACTGGTTGGCAGAAGCAGAGGATGATAGGGATGGACAGGTAGTCTGAGTCAGAGAAGGAAACAAATGGAGTATTTCAACTTTGTCCTCACACAGACAAGGAGAGAGAGGGAATTTCTTGAGCCATCAGGGTATGCAGGGAGGCTTGGATTCCAGGGCATCTTAGGCAAGAATGAGACAAAGTAGAGACAGTAGAGACAAAGTTTTGGAAAACATCTGATGATTTGGCAGTAGCAGTCTTTGGGATGAGTCTTTAGGTAAGTTCTTTTATTGACATTTGGAGCTACTTCACGAGACACAGAAAGATGGCAAGGAATTGCAGGTCCTACTAAGATGGGTGGTCTTAGATGAACTGTGTCTTATTTGTGTGTGTTAGGGAAACAAATTCTGTGCAGGAATTTGGGAAGTAAATGATATTTAACTTCAGTTATAGTAGTTTTCTTGTTCAACCGTGGCATTCTCTAATGTGACAGACTAGTGACCGGTGGCTCCTCTGCTGTTGCTGTTAAATGGTGTTTTCTCTCCTAGGGTTTGGACGTGGCAGAGGGAGAGGAGCGGGGAGGTTTTCAGCCCAAGGCATGGGGTAAGAAATATGCAGAGCACAGATTTTGGCAAGGATCAAACTCAGTGGCAATATTAAATGACAATGTTGCCACTGTATGTATGAATATTGCTGTATGTTTGATAAACCAATATGGATTCAAAAACTGACAAATCTCTTAGATGATGAATGGAACATTTTTGTCTTAAACCAGTATTTCTAACTAGGCACCCTTATACAAACCTAATGTATGTTTACTCAGTGTTAATATCTCAAACTTGGAGAACAATACCTGCCATCGGTACCAGCCACATAGTGCCTTGGAGGCTGAAGATTGTGTTGTGTATTTAGTCTTAGGCCAATTCAAAATGAGATTCATTTCAGTGTAATGTAGAATGTGCAAGTTCTGTATAAAACTAGAAAGTAGAGATTCTAAACTTCCTCCTGTTTTTGAGGTTTCATGCGTTAGCTGTTTGGACATACATGGACCTTAAAACAGATGATTGAGAAGAAGTTACTCAGCAGCTTAAAAGTTTGTTCTCAATTTTGCTGGAATAATTTGCTTTATAGAAACATAACCTCCACTACTTTCACTCAGTGTTTGCCTTTAATGGCACTTCATGTAAAATCAGTGATGTCATGATGAACAGAAGGCTTTTTCTACTTCACTAATAATCCTTCTTGTTCATACTTTTAGGTGAAGAAACTGAAAAGAGGTTTTTCTTCAATAATCCTTTTTCACCTTTTAGCT